TCAGGTATTCATAAATCATGTGTAACGTGAAATTCATAGTTGTAATCTTCCCAAAATCATTTCAAGTGACTAGGAAATTGGTTCACAAGGAAAAAGATGACAAAAAGGGTTCATCTTCTCCACGATAACAAAAATGCCTCCAAATTCAGCTTCACTACTGGCTGCTAGGTTATAAATCCATATCACAAACTGGCTTTCCCTCACAATCCACCCATACTCCTACCGCTGCCAAATAAAACCTATCACCTAAACAATCTTCAAAAATCTATTCCAAGTCCCAACATTCACCATCCCAGAGTTCGCTACTCTATACTGTTAGATGGTTCAAATCAAGGTTTGAATATTCGCAATAGAGCCTTGAGACGTTTTTTTAGATTCACGAGGCACTCAAGATGTATTGAAGCATAAGCCTCACTTTCTGTTTAGATATTATAAATATAGTCCTAGATAATACTACGTATATGATAGTGCATGCTGAAAAGGATAGCTATCGCACAACAATGTTTTAGAATTCATCAAAGTTATTGATATTCAGTAGTTTAGGAAATACAAGCAAGCTCAAAAACATAAAGCCCTTTTCTGTTTCCCATGATTCGTGTTGAATAATTCAAAGACAAGAAGAAAGAAGAGGGATCGAGGAGGAAATTGTGGGAAAAGGAGGAAGTGTAAGGTAGGTTATGGGGACTGGGGTGTGCACAAAATCCGAACAGTCAACCGAGGATTTCCTTAAAAATAAAATATTGGATTAAGTTGCATTGGTTCGAAAATTAGGCTTTGAACTGTGCATGGAAGATGTTCAAATAAATCAAGGCAGCTCTAAATTATAATCATGCGCTGGGATCAGTTAAAAAAAGAAAGCCTCTTTCCAGAAAAGAAAAAGCATTGCACCTCGGACGCCTCATCAGACTGTTCGGAACTCAAGCCTCAAGCACTCGTGGCGTGTGATTCCCCCATAGCAGAGATGCTTAAGCCTCAAGGATTTTTTTTTTAAAAACTGAATTTTTTTGTTTTTTACTAATAAGGAATGAAAATATCAATGGTCAAAATTAGTTTTTAACAAAAAAGAATATTACGTAGCAAAATGAAATACAATTACAGCAACACATTGAGCTATAAAATATCGCAATTAGGCCAAGTTTCTATGATAATATCTCATTAAGAATTCATTAAAAGTTTCATAAAAAATGAAAACTCGAAGTTTCTAAAGCGCTAATTACTTATGGAGATGGGTTTCTGGTTTCCTGAATCTTTCTAATAATAGAAACAGCCCCAAAACCAGAATTTTATGTTTTTAGTTACATACTTGTGTGCATGCTCAGAGTTTCCAAAACATCAAAACGTGTGCTGTGGGGAGTTTCTTTAATCTGTAATTCTTAGACAAATCATTCTAGGTAAAAGAAAAAGGAATTAGCAAATTTAATGTTGTTTTACAATCATGGAAGTTTCGTACTTGCTGCAAGCCTGCAACATTGGCGATGGATGCAAAAAATAAGAGAAGAAAAGAAGCCTAGGGAAGAAAAGGAAGACTGCTAGAGAAGGGGGAAAAGGAAACAAAGGAATAAAGAAAAAATGAAAATAACATAGGAATAGAAAATATTATGAAGGCCAATAACAACAGACCACATGGTAGCATGACCTATACTGTCTTATCCAAATCACATTTTAACCTTTCAAAATCCCACATACTATTATGCTATTAAGAATCTAAGATTTATGATTATAAATTATAATGGCATTTATACGTATTCTGGAATAATATGAAAGAGCCTTTCCTATAAATTTATCCTTGAAAAGATTACAGAGTAATTGTGTCACCCGTGTTTGATTCAAGCAGGAGAAGAGAAACAAGCATAAGCAATTTATAACTTCGTAACATAAACAAAAGAATGAGACCTTTTTACTACTCATGGGATTCAAGTAAATGAGCTATAGTTAACGTGTAGCTGCTCAAAAGATAGTATAATGCACTTCCAAGACTCAAACTTTACTCCCATCCCCGGGTTAAAAAGCCAAATATCAATTACTTCGCGCACGACAATAAATAACTTTACTACTAAGAATATGCTAGACATGTTACTAAAAAAATCACAACTTCCCCGCCATATATTATGCAAGATGAAATAAATGATGGAGAAATAACCAGGAAATCACAAACGAAAACTCCCCAAAACCCTAGCTGTCTCCCCAATCCAAGAAAATTATAAAAATATAATATCGAGCGAACAGGCAGGTGGTATTGAAAAAGGGGAGATTATGTGATACTTGAATATGAAGATGCGAAAGAACTGATATACCATATTCAGATCGAGGGCGTTTAGCGAGGAGGGGCGGAAGAGCTTGCGGCGGCGGCCTAACATCATTGTATCGCCAGTAAGCGTCTGCCATTTCAAAGCGGAAATTGAACCCTAATCGAGGGAATAGGCGGCCGGTTCCGATTATAACCAGCACCAGATACCGGAAGAAAGGCGGGGAAAGAGCAGATTGCAGAGTGAGGAGATAGAATATGTGTTTATGTAGACCTTTAAAGCTACGCTTGTGTTTGAGTGTTTCGGAAGGATGTTTTTTGAGTCAAATTTGGTTGTTTGGTCCGATTTGATTTGGTAAATGTCTATTAATTATAGAAGTTGATCTGATCTGAGATTGAAAACAATTGAAAAGAAAACATCTCAAATGTGATTGATTTAATAGATTTTAGAAAAAGTAATTTATGATAAAAGTAATTAATGTTTGAAAATATAAGTAGTTTTAATTAAAAGATAAAAGTGTGTAAAAAAGTGTGTGTAATGTGCATAGTACTACATATTATATTTGGGTATGTACAAAAATGCCCTAGAACATTAGTTAGCAACTTTGCCATAAATTTCAAGGGGATCTTTATTATCTACTCCCTCCGTCCCCTTTTAAATGGGACGGGAGATGGTGGCACGGTTTTTAAGAAAAGTGAGTTTGTGTGGTTGATATTAATTGATAAAGTAAGAATAAAGTAAGAAGGGAAAAGGTGCAAATAGGTCCATGTACTAACAAAAAAAGGTCAAATAAGCCCTTATTTAGAAGGCTCTGTCCTGTCGTCGCCATTTGGGGTGGTTCCCGGTGAAATTTTTTGATGAAATTTTTGGAGCATCTTATTCATCAAGTCTAGTTTACTCATACCAAATTTCAGCTAAAACTTCAATCGGGAAGGCATTCAAATGAATTCTTGAAAATAACTGCACAGTTAGAAGCGCAGTTATCTTCAAGAATTCATTTGAATGCTTTCCCGATTGAAGTTTTAGCTGAAATTTGGTATGAGTAAACTAGACTTGATGAATAAGATGCTCAAAAAATTTCATCAAAAAAATCCACCGGGAACCACCCCAAATGACGACGGCCGGACAGATCCTTCTAAATAAGGGCTTATTTGACCTTTTTTGGTTAGTACATGGGCCTATTTGCACCTTTTCCCAAGTAAGAATGATTTTGAGCCACACAAAGTTTACCAAATAAGGTATGTGGCAATTAAATAGGGACATCCCAATATGGTAAAACGGGACATTTAAAAGGGGACGGAGGGAGTATCTATATACAAAACAAGGTGGAATTTTGGTCATTTTTCCGCTCAAAAACATCTCATCAAATACAGGCTAACTCTCACCAGACCATGCAATTATCCGTCGGTTAAAGTCCCTCATACCCTATTCGTCCAGACTCCAGAGTCATTGAATGTTGTTATTCATACGGGTCATTCACTTTTTTATTTAAGGGTTCGTTTGGTGGTTTACACGTTAAATCTTTGCACGCGAAGTGATTGCGTGCAAAGTATAGGGAAGTAATCATTTTGTATGTAAAATAAATTACATTGTTTGGTCAGATGTATAATTATTTTTAATTTGCATGCAAAGTCGTTGCAGTGCTTCATAAAAGGCGTGCAAAGTATTTTACCACTCTCCCCCCATGTAAAATATTTTACACGGTACAATGCGAAATGTTTTAAAAAAGTGCTCTACAGTTAACATTAAATAATCAAACCAAATAGTGTAAACATTTTACTTCCTTACATTTCGCATCCAAACTAATTATTTTACATCCTACCAAACGACCCCAAAAAGCATCAAAGTATACAACCAAGCGTATTCAAATATCCATGTATTCAAAAAGAGAGTATCCATTGTTGGTCACCAGCTTCCTCCTTCCGTCACCACCGCTACCACCGTCAACCATTAATAGCCCACACCATCCAAATCATATTCCGGAATCCAAACATACCACAAACAGGAGCAGTGGCGTGTCCAGAAAATTCGGTCAGTGGGGCAAATTTACACTAATATTATCACACAATTTTTAGGAAAGAGATATTAATTAAAAAATCCACAGTTTAGTAAAAAAAAAAATATATGTTTATAAGAAATAGCTGAAACATTTAATTATAACTTTATAACTCATTTAAGTTACAAATAAGCAAGTGTGTTTTAATGCTAAGTGCGAAAAGATGTGATTGAAATTACAAAATAATAAATTATTTTAAACTAATTTGTTTATTAAATACAAAACCAAATATTATTTTGGGTGTTTTACCCAAAAACAGGAAAAATGGGCTTGGGTTGCCAAAACACAGGAATTTTTCTAGGGTTTACCAAAAAACGGGAGTCGGAACTCCCAATTCTGACTAGGAGTTAGGGTTTTCGAAAGAAAACTTCTCCCTCCAGTCGGATTAGCCACTTCCAATTAGGATTTTTTTTTGCCTAATTCTTAAGTTTTTTATTTTGAGTTTTAAAAATTAATAGTTTTAGGGCTAAATTCTATCCATTCCAAATTTAAAAGTTTTTCTAGATTCCCTACATATTTTTAAAAATGAAAACTTAGCATTTTGATTTTTTGAGTAACAAAACATTTGATTGCTTTATATTGTTTTTTAATCCATTTGTATTGTGAATTTTGTTTTAATATCAATTTTTGTAATTTTAAGTGCAATTTTGATTTAATCCATTCGTCAAATTAGATACAAATTTGATTTTGTTTTAAGTGCAATTTTTGTAATTTTAATGGAAGTGAACAAAACAAATGTAGTTTTCAATGTAATTTATTGATGAATAGACAGTACATACAATATTAAATTTAATACTACATCTAACGTTGCGTGCTCGGCCTTGCTCCATCCCCACCGCCAGTGTTCCAAGGCCCCGTTGTGTCTCCATAGTAAAACGACGAATTCAGAAATGACTCAACATAATCATCCGCTTGTGTGGAGCACTGATAAGAATCATAATACGGCGGTGGTTGATCAAATGAGACACCTTGATGTGTTGAGAATTGAGGGGGTGATTGATCAAATGAAACACCCTTTGTTGAGAATTGAGGGGGCGATTGTGAGTCCTCACCCCCACCTTCATGTTCAGCTGCATCATCCTCTTCGTCACTTCCACCTTCATCTTTATCTTCATAATGGAATATGCCCCGATGGAGCATCTCTTCATCACCTACGTCCAGGGCCATCTGCCGTAGTCGTTTTTGACAGTCCTCATAACTCGTGCAGTCGACTAAGAGCTGATACACCTCGTGAACGCATTGCTTCTACATAAAAATGTAACACGTGTAAATAATATGACACGATATATGTTAATGAATATGGTATGTATTCAAAAACTTACCACAATACCCCAATCGTGTGATGTCAGGGTGTAGTCTGTCGTGGGCACATTGTGAGAAGGGTTCTGGACACGTGTCATACCATGCTTCTTGTACCATTTTCAGTATCTATTAGTTGCTTCGAGGGACATATGTCGCTCATAATCAAGAAAGTATATATTATGTTGTATGGCCGCCCACATTGCCAATGCACCGGTTACTATGTTGGAACGTTTGTCGTGATTATCAGTACCCGTCAAAGGAGCATTCGGAATATCTTGCCTTATATGGAACTGCCGAAGAAATCGATCGGGGTAATGCATTTCGGCCATATTGCAAAATATGAGTATGACCGTAGCCGACCAATGCTCTACCCCCAAGAACCCAGCATATGCTAACATATCTATCACTCTTTCATGTCGCTCTTCATCTCCGAATGCAGCTGTAGGGCAATTGACGCATTTCAAGCACGAGTCTTTGGAATCTGGTTCATACCATACACGGTCCGCACGATGGGCACGCAGTGGCAACGTGAGTAGTTGATGGTTAACAGGCCCTGGGCGCGGAATGTTTTGCTCCATTTGAAATTCCTAAAATAAGTAGTTATAAATTACTAATTTCGAAATTGAACTCTAAATCTAAATTGAACACAATTTATAAATTCATAGGTTTTGAACTCAAAATCTAAATGTAACACAATTTTTAAATTTGTAGATTTTTATAGCTAAGTTCAACTCTAAATTCACAATCTAAAATTAAAATCTTAAAATTTACCAAAATAACTAGTAATTTTGAATTTAATGAGTAAAAGTCCAATTATTATAGCTAAATTTTACTAGTAAAAGTCCAATTTCACAATCCTAAATGTAACACACTTTCTAAGTTTCAAACATTTTACATTTTAATTCGACAGCAGTTAAAATAGACATATAAAAATTTCTATAAAAAAGCCCATCGGATTTGAGAATTCTGACAACATTAAAATTCATATTTTATTTACATTTAAAATCTAAATATGTTTTGGTGAAATTGGATTCAATGCAGTTGGACTCCACTTGGACTACGACAGATAACAAAGTCACAGATAAAGATAAAGGAAATAATGAATTTGTACAGATATGGTTTGGAGAGAATAATGAATTTGGTAGATGCGGTAGACGCGAGAAATATAGAGGAAATATAATCAAAGAAATTTTATCAGATAATTTTTTTATTATCTGTTAAATTTCGATAATATTGTATCTGAATTACAAAGATATATTAAGTATAATATACACTAAATTAAAATTCCAAATTCACAAATCCAAATTAAAAAAAATTACAAATTACTAAATTAACTACTTCTATACTCCTAAAACCGAAATTTAAGGCAAATCCTAAATGTAACACACTTTCTAACTTTCAAGTAATTTATAGTCAAATTTAACTCTAAAATTCCAATTTAACAATCTAAATGTAAACATTTACAAATTACAAAATTAACTACTCCTACACTCCTAAAACCAAAATTTAAGGCCAATTCTAAATTTAACACTCTTTCTAACTTTCAAGTATCTTATAGCTTAATTTAACTCTAAAATTCAAATTTAACAATCTAAATTAAAAAATTTGCAAATTACTAAATCTACTACTTCTACACTCCTAAAAAAACTAATTAAGGCAAATTATAAGTTAGCGATCTATATATAGCTTTTTTAACGACGTGATACTATCTCCGTCTAAATCAATATTGTAAATATATAATTAATATAAGTAATATATAAATCACATATAAGTAATTAGGTAAGCGTAATATTATTATAAAGATATTAAATTATAGAGTTATTAATTAGCCTAATTATGCATAATATTAGTATTATTTTTTAATATATTATACTACAGATAATATATACTTGTATGATAGCCCAAGTATATAATACACTAACTAATACATATATTACTAATATCAGTGATATATACTCATTAACTCTAAAATTCCAATTTAACAATCTAAATTAAAAACTTTACGAATCACTAAATTAACTACTTCTACACTCTTAAAATGACAACAAATAAAATCAAATCATTGTAAATTCTACTTAACTTGAACAATACATACTGGGAGATTCGTAGTTCTGAAACGTTTGGCGGTTGTTCCTCCGACCATATATTGATGATGGGCCTTCCTCTCCGGGAGTTCCGTGGAACGTCAAATTTTGTGGCGGGGTCGCTGAAGCTTCCACGTAAATGTGCAACTCCTCATACTCATTTGTAGCGATCCGGAAAAAATGACGCCATGTCCGCTCATCGTGAATGGGTCATAATCTAGAAGCAACATATACCGAATTCTTATATTTTGGCAATTTTCCGTGAATTAATTTAACTTCGGAAAATCTGTAGCCTCTAACATGATTTAGGACATTCTCATGTATAGTAGTATAATCATCTCCTTCACTAATGAATAGTACTGCCCTAGGAGGTATGGAGTACTCTATTTCATCATCTTTTTGATATGTAGAGCCATTCCAATGAACCATAACAACAATATTACCCTCACTAGACATTTTTATATATGGTACTCCCTCCGTCCCCTTAAGTTTGTCCCGTTTTACCTTTTTCGTCTGTCCCACTAAGTTTGTCCCATACCATATTTGGTAACATTTGAGTGGTTAGAATTCATTCTTACTTTATTTACATTTTATCAATTCAATACCAACCACACAATTCCACTTTTTCTTAAAAACCACACCACACCCCTCCGTCCCAAACTTAGGGGGACGGAGGGAGTATATATTATAAATATAATATGAGAGGAGAGTGCTAAACAAAAAAAAAAGAATATATTACTTTAAGAAAGAAAGAAGTGTTCTTGGAGTGTGTAAATTTTGAGAACAAATGAATGGATTTTATAGGGATATTAGTGTGGGAGTTTGGTGAAATACTCTAACAGCATTTAAACACCTCACCCATTCGAAACATTAAAAAAAATTAAAAATATCACAATACCCTAGTCGGATTCCCCAATTTCCGACTAGGTGTTTCAAATTATTTATGAAACCCTAATCTCTAGTCGGAACAACGGATTCCGACTCCCGTGTTTTGGTAACCTAAATCACTTTCCCGTGTTTTGGCATGTCAGACGCCATACTCCCGTGTTTTGGTAATTTCCTCTATTATTTTCTCTTTAGTAGTGCTAGTTTTAGTTTTAGTCAGAGTGGATTTGATTTGAATGTTTGGATTTTCAGAGTTATTTTGTTAGAAAAGGTTTCAAATTTGTTTGTTTTAGGTTTAAATTTGTCATTTCCAGGTTTAGCGATAAAATAGAAAATTCAAAATTTGTTTTTCAATCTATTCTATTTCGTTATTTCAAAATATTCTATCAAAATTTCGTTATTTTGATAGAAAAGGTTTTCGCTGTTGTATAAAATTCAAATATTCTGCATGGTGAATAAAATAGAACTAATTAGAAATACTTGAATGAAATTGAGCTCAATGAATCATTGTCTCCTTCAGACGAATTTGCTACAACACAAGTAGTGTTGGGATACTGGGTTCCGGCCCAAGATAGCTTGGGGGCCTAAGGGAAAGAGCAGGCCCAAAGGGATCCTGGCCCAAACTTACGAGACCCCGAACGTGGTGTTGGCAGTCACTAGGGACTTCATTCGGTATAACCTGAACGGCGCACTTATCATACTTGGAACAAATGACAACATTATCTCTGCCCACCAGCATGGTGAGCCCAGGAATCGATCGAGGAGCCTGCAAATTAAAGGCTGCATTTTTTTTTTACTCCAAGGAGGGTCTAGGGGAGGGGCCTGGGGGGCTGGAGTAATCAAGGTTGAAACTCGCTCCATTGAGTTTCAAACCCTTATGTGTCTAGCGCGTTTCGAACTTGAGACCTCCCACTAGGCACAGTAACCTCACAACTAGCTGAGTTGGAATGCTTGGTTAGTTAAAGGCTGCATTAAATGCTAGTATATAGCGGTAACAAGTGGAGGCATGCGTGTACAAGTGGCAAAGAAAACAACCAACCGGACTCGACCACATCACCGCATCACCTACCCCCTCCTAGTATAAATAGGGGCATTTACTTCATTAGAAGGGGTGAGGATTTGGATACTCAGAAGCCTCAGATTATCTCTCCAGTTCTTGTATTAGCAACAGTTCAAAAGCATCGTTCGGCCATTTCTGTGTAATCTCTGCTATTATCTTAATACAAGCAGACTTTTGAGTGCATTTGACATAGATCTTATATCTTAAACACTTTTATACGAAACCATCATCCTAAATATCCCAAAGTTGGTGTTGGGCTTTCGGATCTACAGGACTTAACCTCAACATTGGCATCGTCTTTGTGAAAACAACAAAAATCCGAAGCAAACCATTAACCTAAGCACTATATACTCTCAACATGGTCAGAATCACATCAGAGTACATTCGTGGCACCTTTGGGGGCAAGTGGGCAGTAGGACCCCCGGGAACTGGTCCACCCAGGGGCACGCCGGTGGAGAATCATCATGGGGATACAACTGGGGTGTCGAAGACTTGATTCCCGAGGCAACTAGGGGAAATCCCCAACTGATAAGGGAGCTGGCGGGTGCAATCGAGGTGCCAGAGTTTGGATTTTAGAAGATGATGTTTCAAGAAAATTGGCAGGAAAGAGTTCGAAGCTTGCATCGATTATTTTATTTCTTATGGTCTTATATTCATGTTATGTTTATTTACATTGTTTTGTTTTTTTGTTGATGATTTTAGTTTTAGGTCTACAATAATGATTGGCAATTCTGCTAGCTATTATGTCGTTAGAAGGATTTATATGACCAGTGATTGATGTGTCACATCTATAAATCTATTTGGTAGTTAGTGATACGTATTACTCTTTCAGTGGTGGTCATTTCTAAGTCTAGCCAAAGGATTGATAGTTATAGTTGATCACGATTAGGTGTTGTCACTGTTGGTCTCTTTGAATTTGATGTAACGATTTGATTCCTAATTATATTAATATAAGCAGTTTTTCCTTTTTAAAAATTATTTACTTTATATTTGGTCAATGAATGAATTATGAACAAGTCCATTTGTATGAGAGTATATTCCTATTTATCAATTACCTAGAGGGGGCTTATTAGAGAAATCTTCTTATATTTTCGTGGATGATTACAAAATTGAATCCAAAAAAATAGTGTTGGCGTTTACGAGACATTTCGTTAGGTCATTTTTCATGTTTACGAGTCATTTTGAGAATAATATCTTTGTTAGAAGACTGTTTATTTTATATTTGACTTTATATTTGATTAATACAGAAGATAATTACTCTAGGTATTACTAAAACTCTCCCACTTTCCCAATCTATGATCTAACTAGTTTTTTCCCCAAATAATATTTTAATTGGTAATATATAATTATTTTCGTGATTAATAAATAATTAATTATTTTATGGACTAATATACCCTTTAAGCTATTCTAATAAAACCCTAAGCTCTTTCTTATTTTTTCCAACCCTAACCGCATAGCCCTTGCCACTGCCTTTTCTAACCTGTTGTCCAGCCGCCGCTGTTCAGAGCACCGCCGCCGCTGTCCAGCAGCACCGCTGTCTGG